TAGTGTGCTTAATGGTTAATCCGGCCTTGAACATTAAGTTAAATATAAGATGAATTATTTCTAAATTGCTTTGGCAAAAGTTAACGATTTGAGAAAAATCACCTTTTTGAACTTGAAGGAATTAAGAATTTCATTGTTAAATTAACCCTGTGTTACCCCATCATTTCTGTAAACATTTTGGTTTGGTTTGTTTAAGCTAACTAGAAATTTTATTTTTTATATGTTCATAATGAGTCTGAACATAAGCATCTCAGGCTTCCAATATTTGAGGAGGACGAAATTAAGTTACAATTCTTCTCTAAACATAATTCAATTTTTCTTCAATCTGCTAAATAACGATGAAAGGATAATTTTTTAATGTCTGAAGTTGCTTTTAACTTAGCTTAATTTTAATCTATAATGATTCATGGAACTTTGATTTTTATTTGTCTTAAATGTTAGTAGGGTCCTTTTGAAATTTCTGATTATTGAGCGGGGCATGTACCCACCGTCCCCCATATCAAAAATGCCCATGAGTCAGAACTTCCCTTAAGAAAGTTCAATATATTGAGATTCTGAACGAAAACATTTTGAGATGTAAAAATTTTGAGATTATTGCAACAATATCTGTTCATGCTTATTTTTCTCCATCATATACATACATATTTTTTATTTTACAGAGCTGAAAAAGGTGTTTCTGCAGCAGAATATGAGGCTAGTCTACAAAAAGTATACACAGTGCAAACTGTTCAGGTAGAAAAAGAAAATTTATTTTCTTTTTTTATTAATTATGTTTAGCTTTGATACATTTAAAACACTTGTTTTCAACATTTTTAAAGTATGTTTGAAGTGTATACCATGGTCATTAAAATGTTGTCTGTGGTGCACCAGCAGGAGGTTGATCCCAATTCTGAGTAATGGCTCCAAGACCACACTATATTGGCATACCAGAGAGAGGCGATGATTTCGGTCACTTCGTATGCCTTGTGCTCTTTTTAAGCTTTCATTTGTATTTTGCATTATGATTGAAAAAAGAAAAAATACGTTTAAAATCTTGATTAAAAATGCATAAATACGTAAGCAAATTTTTTAGTTAGTTTATTACCTGCATGTTCTTGTCAAATATTTAATATAAATGTAAGCAGTCTAAAAAAAACCCAAAAAAGCCCCATTTATTTATGGAATAATAGTAAACTTGAAACAGCTTTTTTTGAAAACACTTTTAACAACAAATGATAAAGTTTTATAGGTAGCCTATGTTCTGCCTTAAATTCAATTTGCCTCATCACTAGAGGGCGCTATTATTCATGTTTTATTCTTTCTATTAATTTTGTTGACCAGTGTGTGTGTAAACAAAGAGGATTAAAGTTAGATTTAGAAGCGCGTGCCTCATCACTAGAGGGCGCTATTATTCATGTTCTATTTTTTCTATTAATTTTGTTGTTCAGTGTGTGTGTAAACAAAGAGGATTAAAGTTAGATTTAGAAGCGCGTGCTGTTTCTTGTCTCGTCTCATCAGCCTAATAGTTTTGTTGGTAGAAAGTAAGATCTTGTTGTGGTGCTTTTAAGAATGCAAAATTTCTAACAATAATAATTGCTTTTTATAAATGTTGTTTTTTATATTTTAAAAATAAATGTGTTTTTAAGTAAGGCTACTCAAAGTAAAAAACTATTTTTAAAATATGTAGGAAAAATTATATAAATAGCAGTAAGCTCTTAAAAAGGATATTTTTTTAAAGAAAAAACTTCTTTTTGTACCCAGTTTTCACAATCATGTAATTGATTTTAAAATTATGGAGTTAATCTCTATCATCTACTAGAACTAAAATTGTCTGTTGGGGAGTATCTTACTTTTTATGTTATTATAGAAAAACATTATTGAAAGTGTTCTAAAAGTCAACCAACAAATTCAGAAGGGTGATAAAACATATCAAGAGATTGAAAACTTACCATAGGGGTTGCATATCAACTTGAGATGGTGAAAATCATTGCTCTACTAATTCTAGAGGGGAAGAAGGGTTGAGTATTATAGCTCTAGCTTTCACACATTTTGGCTAATTGAGGTGACAGTAGTTATCAAAGTTATAAGATTTCTCATATTTCTTAGTGATGGTAGTTGACTACATTTCCATACTGTCATTAAAGATTTAAGATGCTTAAACTTTTTTGACCCACCTTAGTAAACAATCTTGATTGAATGTTATATTGGAATAGCAATGAAATATGTTGTTATTAATTTAAGAATAAGTGTTGCCTAAAGGGAACGAACAAAACTAGAATAGTTGAGGCATTATTCTCTTAAATGGTGTCGTTTATAGTTTGTTTTGAACTTTTTAGTGACTTTTTATATTATTTTCAGTACTACAAATTACAACTTTTTATTTGTTATACTTTATTTAGCACTAACAATGTTTGAGCGAGCATTTTTGATTTATCCTTTTAAGCTTATATTTAATTACTGTTCAATTATAAGCTATTTTCTGACAAGGTTAGTAGAAATTAAATTTCTTCTTTTTTTAAAAATCAGATTTTTTTAATTTTATCAGATATTTTTAAAATTTTAATCAGATTTTTTAAAAGTTTAAACGATTTGTTTTTTTCTTCTCGCATTTATCAATTAAAGTTCGATAAAATTGTATCAATATTCTTGAGTATTTTTAGGAACAAAATTTTAACTAAAATACTTAGTATTTCTTACAAAAATGGTTAATATTATTTTTTTTATTTTAAACAAATCACAAAATAAGTAAATAAAATGGCAGTTATTTTTATTCTAGTTCAACGTTTTAATAAATCTGAAGACAGAGAGCCCATTTGGTAATTAGATATCAAATGACGAGTATATTAATTTAGATTTAAAAAAAGTAAATATTCTTGATTACTCTTAGCTAAAGTTTTTTCTTCATTACTTACAATAACTATGTATGTAATAAGTTTTAAAAGCACTTGTATTAAGTAAACAGGCATATAGATGAAATATATTTATCAAACGACAAATAATTTTACACATTGTTATAGAAAAATTTTAAGTTTTAGGTCATTTTTTATCATGTTTAGTCTATATTTTTTTCTATTTTGAACATGAGTTAATAATTTACACATATCCTTCTTTCTTAATACTCTGAATAAAAATTTTAATGGCCATAGGAATAAGACTTTAAAAAATGAAGTCACAACCTTAAAATTGTATTAAAATATTTTTTAATTAAATCAGTGATTTTTTTTAAATATCAAGGGATTTTAAACCATTTAAATTCTTTTTAAAAAATAAATTTCTGTTTAAATCATGCATTCCAAGTATTCTGATTATAGATTTTGTTTTCAGATGTTTTGGAGCGTTTATAATAACATACCTGATATTCAAGAGCTTAAAAAAAAGTATAGCTATCATTTAATGCGTGGAGAAAGAAGGCCAGTTTGGGAAGATGAAGCCAACTGTAAAGGAGGATCATGGCATCTTAAGGCATACAAACAAGACTCTGTAAGTATCTGAATGTGCCTCTAAATTAAGAAACAAAGAGCAAAAATTAAAAAAAAGAAAATCTGAATATTTACAGTTATAATATTTACAGTGATTTATATCAGTTGATTTAGATCACTTTCTTCACACATTCTTTTTATTCCAACAATACGTAATATTAAAGGTTGTTTTCATTTTGTACCCTATCATTTGTTAATTTCTTTTCAAAGAATAATAATACCTGTTAACTTATTTAGGAAAATATATTTAATATTTTAGGAGTAGGATAACAATAAAAACTAAAATTTTAAATAAAGTAAAAGTTCTTCAATTTTCTAGTGATAAGCATAGATTCAGATAAGGTAATTCAAATTATTTCCTAATTAGCAGCAGAGATTTTTCTTATATTCATTGAAAGAAAAGATATAGAAAATTCAGAAAATATGAATTTTCTTTTCGATAATTTTTTAAAAAATATTTTAAATTAAATTGACTGAATCTGTTTTTATATAATACTGCAACATACAAAGACGATTTGTTTCTTTAAGAATTCTTTTTATTCCAACTAATATATATTGTTATGGGTAATTTTTTTTGTTTGTATTCTATCATTTCTTTCATTTCAAAGAATAATAATATCCCTTTACCTATTTGGTAAAATCAATTTAACACTTTAGAAGGAATAGACAATATCAAACTTCATTCAGAGATTAAGTAAAATTAATAATTTATTGTAAAACAAAATAAAAGTAGGCTAACGACCGAAACTAAAATTTTAAATAAAGCAATTGATCAGTTATTAAAAATGAAATTATGTCACAAAAAGTAATAGGTTACGATTAGATTTTAAAAAAATTTAAGATTAAAAAATTTTTCCTTTCTTCCATTAACAAAATTTTTAATATACTTTGCAATCATGTATGTGATTATTAATCTATATTTTATTTATTTAATTTAGTTTTTAAATATATGTAATTAGCTGATATTTGTGTTAATTAAATCTTCTCTAATTATGTATGTTTTAGATTAATTACTGGTAAGTTGAAAAACTTATAAATAAATTTTATAATAAATTTTAAAAAATGTATTTTTTTTTTGAATTAAAAAAAAAATTGACTTCAAATAAATGGATTGTTTTAAGTAAGAAAATACAAATTAAAATTGTTTTGTTGTTACAGTACTTATATTTATTAGTAAATATTAATTAACTTAGCCAGGGATCTGTTCTATTTTTTTCCTAGGGTCCTATTTTTCTGAATTTTCTTCTACTTTTGTAAAATTTAATTTTTATTTTTGTGATAAATATAAAAACAAAAAAATAAAATTAGATTTAGTATGAAATAAACTTTATTTGTATATCAATATATATTGAAATTTATCTGCGGAAAGAGATATATAATGCCCACAAATTTTTGACTGCATATCGCAATTTAATATATTAAAAAAGAAAAAGGAATAAAAAAATACTGCAGATATATGTAGCATAAAGCAAGATAATGAATAAAAAAATCATAACCATTTAAGATAGATAAGATATAGATTATAACTGTAATTAAATATCAATTTATATTGAAATAATTTTCTTTTTTACTGTAATGAAGGTTAATAATATAAAAAATAGATGAAACTATCCATTTTACAACTGCATGCATCAGTTTAGAATAAAAATAAGAATAGCACAAGTAAAGAATATATTTTGTTGTACAATAAATTTTACTTGCTTATCTTTTCAAATTTAAACTTATGAGTGAAAATATCTACAGAATTATTTTTTAGTTTAGTATGAAAACAGGAGTCATTTATGTGAAAATCAGGTCACATTTTATGTGACTAAAATATTATTTACATAGCTGTATTTTCACACAAAAAGTTGCACTACATCATAAGAAGAAATAGTTCTTTTATTTTTAATCTTTACTAAGTTAATATACTACTGTCCTCATTTGTATCACAGCAAATAATTTTAAATCAAGTTAATTACCACCAAATAATTTTTATACAAATTTTGTTACAACGATTTAAAATAAACGTTTATGATAGCTTTAGATGCTGTAAATAGTTAAATGGTTTTGTAACAAAATTACACACAATATATAGGGTTAATATAATTATTTCTCCTGCCCTAAACTCGAACACCTTTTGTTTAGTAAAGTTTAACAACTTGCTGATTTTAGGGTAATTTCTCTTTTAAACTCTTTTAAACAACTGGGCTTTAAAAATAGGGAGTTATGTTCATTGATTTCTGTCTACTACCGAATCTCACAAATTGTTGTCACTACATATAATTTTTATTACATTTAAATATTTTATATCCATAACTAAGCTTACTGGGTGGCTGGGCTATAGCTCGCCCTTATATATTATTTTGGAAAAACTAAAATTAAATTTTAGCATTAACTTTCATTTGAAAAGTCTAGCTCATTGAAAACACATTTAACATGTTAAGTGTGAGTGTAGAACAAGTATTCATTACCAGCTAATTTAAATAGTTGCACAGATGATCAATTTTAAATATCTATGTGGTTAGCATTGTAGTTTTGCATATAATAGAGTCATGCTGTCATTTTAAATTTATGAGCTAAGGCATTTATTGAATTATGAGCTGAGATGATCAAAGTAGGGCAGCCAGTGAGGCACTCATTGATGCCACGACATGCCCAGCATGTTAAATTTAAAAATGTTTATTACTATAGTGGCCCAACTTTATAAAAAAGTGTCAGTCCACTTATGTTTATATCTGCTATAATTTATGGCCTGAATGCCAACTTTTTATGTGTTCAAAGGTAAAAATATATAAATAAACTAATTAATTGGATATTTTTACCTGGTATGATACCTGCAGTATTATTATTTTTTTTTTAAGTTAAAAAGTCAAAGTAAACTTTATAAAGTTTTTGGAATAACAATACATATTACTACATACCCTCCAACTTATGAAGATTTTGAAAATAATTCTTTTTAGTGGTAGCGAACCAAAGTAGAAATTTTTAAAGTAAATGGATCTCTCATAAAACTTTTATCAGAACTTAAGAATCTAGCCATATGGCCTGCACTTTTATAAGTAATAGTGGACAAGTTACGCTAAAATGAATTTTTTTTAAATATTAAGACATTAATTTTGCTACCGTCTGAAAAGAAGATTTCTGAAACTACGGAAATTCCGTAGCAGTTGGAGGGTATGTTACTAGAATAATTTTCTTTAAGTACTATGAAAATAATCCGTACTTTCCTTATCCTAAAATGAAAGCTATTGCATTTTGAACAGCTTTTTTTCTCTATATGATGGAACCAGTTTTTCTATATTAGATAGGGACATGGTGTAGGGGAAGATAGAAATATTTTACCAAATTGCCCCATTTGCTTGAGCATCAAAGGGGTAACTAATTTTATAAAATATGATGCAGCATTAGTCAGACTCATTTTCTCTAAACTATAACATTTTAATTAAATGTTCATAATTTTATGGGTTCTGTCAGAGTTATTAATTGTAAATTAAAGTTAGTGACGTCAACTTGCATTAAAAAATCATCATTTCTTTTGCTTATAACCTAATTATAGTTAAATGATAAAATTTTAGTTAATATCTAAGTCATATTTCTATATATTGTAAAGTGGATAAATTTTGAGGATTGATGTTGGTGAGATTTCCTTGTTAGCAATGATGGTCTTCAAAACATTCAAAAACTGATATGTTTAGAAGTTAGCTTGTATTTTTCATTTGATTTTTGATGGTTTTGTCCTTGTGTTATTACATTTATTCCTCATGTTAGGCTGACACAAATATTTTAGTATATTTATGATTGGCATTTGAATTTGCCTCAGGTGCAGACTTGATACATCAATAAACCTTCATACATTTTTCAAACAATTATATTAATCTTTTTCTTTGTTTGTTCTTATTTTCTTTTGCTGTTTGTACAATAAAAGTATTTTTCTAACAAATTAGTAAGGGGTATTTTTATAGAAAATAAATTAGTTTACAATTGAAACAAAGTTAAATTTAAAATGTTAAAATGAATATAGTTTTAAGTTTTCTAATTGCTCATGTTCTTATGTGCATAAGCAATTAGAACTGAAAAATATGCAATTTTAAGAAAATATTTGTAGTAAATTATCAACATGCACCACTAATGAAATATGCACATATGTGTTTTTAAACTAATCAGTTTAATGATATTAATTTTATGTAGCAAATTGTAATTCATTTTGGTTATTAATATTATTAAGATATCTAATTCTTACGCTAGCTTTGCTAAATTAAAGTCTAAGGCCACATTTACACCATCTGTTGATTAGTTTCCTTATTTATTTATTGCACTCATAAAATTAAAGTAATATTTGTTATTTTCTAAATAAAATATCCTTTGTTCCAAAACTGCTGTTTATTTCAAAGTTTTGTTGCTTATTAACCCATTCCTTCTCACTCCTGTTAAAATGACAAGTTGAAGTTTCGCCCTCTATTTTTCGTGCCCGTAATAGTTCTGGGCTGAACTAGTCAGAAATAACAGGCAAAAAAATTAAAACAATATCTTTTTTATTTCCGGAATCATGTCTTTTTCTCAATCTATGCTCTAGATGGCAGTGCCAGATTATTTGTAAAATGTTTAGAGATAATTAGCTTATTTTAAACTAGATGTCAGCATCCATCAAACATGTAAGCTTAAAATTAACCCCAAAGTTAAAAATGAATGCATATATTGCACATACACTTAGTTTTATGTAATTTTTTTGAATAAAGAAAATAGGCACTTTTTTGACTTATCTTTAAAATTATGTGACCACCTATTTCAATCTATAAATGAAGAGATATCACTTATTGGGGGAAAAGGGGTCAATGAAAATTTATTCTTAGAGGTTCAGTGTTTGAAAGGTGCGGTTCACATTTCTCACAAGAAATGATTTTGACAGAAGGCACCCAACCTCCTGCAATACATATTTTATGATTATAGATTTAAAAAAAGAAATCAGTCAGGGTTTTTTGGTTTAAACCTATGGGATTTAAACCAGTTTTTTTAAAAAAGTAAGCTTGTTTTTTTTACAAATATATTATAAATAAGTGAATTTTCTATTGTTTATTTAAATTCTTTCAGTTTGATTGCAACAGAAAAAAATATGAAGTTTTCTTACAATTTTTTAAAATTTTAAGTATATTTGCTTATGGTAATTTGTATTATTTCAATTATAAACATAAATTTTTAATTTTTAAATGATTATATAGACATTGTTTTCCGCAAAAACATCTATATTAAATAGCATTGGCATTTCATCCCGAAGGAACCTATCTCGTCCAGGGCAGTGGAAGAAACTAAAAAAACCCAAAAGAATTTGGACAAAATGGAAGAAACTAAAAATGCCCAACACGATAATACAATTAAAAATAAGTATTATAAGAACAACTCTAATTTAAACATACTAAATTTAATATAGATAGTTTTTTTTAAAATAACTTTATTTGTTTATTTATTAGTTTTATAAATAATTTTAAGATCTATATATCATATTATTCACGAGTCTCTGTTTGAGTATTCATACTTAACATTATTTGATAAAAAAATTAATATGCTTTTTGTAGTTAAGAATTCAATATGATTTTAAATAGTGTCTATGTTTAGTATGTGATTTGTTAATTTAGTGGTATCAATAAAGTTAATTGTTATTTTAATACTTCTTTATATAATTATGAAAATTAGTTTACTATATTTCTTAACATACAATATTAAAAATCTAGGTATTTTAATTTAAGAAATTCATGAAATTTTTTTCCCAAAATCTTTTTTTTTCTTAAAGTTTTTATTTATTTAAAAAATGAAACATCAAGTATCTCTAAAATTAATACTATTATTTGAACTAGATTGCCATTGTAAACTGCTAAAAAAATTGTTTGGATGTTAGATATTTCTTTTTGAATAGTGAAAAGTTTTTTCCTCTTGTGTTGGAAGAAACCTATTTTTTGGATAGTTTTTTCTACAGTTTTCTTCTATTTCTTATTCGGTTTTTCTATGTTATTTTTCTTTTTTGGAAGAAACATGCTATCCTCTATATTAAATAATGTGAGCAAATTTAAGATTAAGTCATAATGTCTTAATTAAGTCATAATGCCTTAAGCCTGCTTAAAATAAAATGGATGAGCCATGTTCTGTAGTTTTTAAAATTAGTTAAATATTGTATTTATTGAAAGAGTTCAAGTTTCTCAAAGTTTATTTTTATCTATTTGTTAAATAAATTATGTTTGCATCAGTCAAAACTATGAATGGGAATGAGGTGTTTTTTAAATTTATTCAGTTTCATTTTAGAATATTTTTCTGTCACCAGTGTAAATAAATATGTATTGTATATATGTATCATGTTTATATTTGTTACTAAAATTTTGAAATAAGATTTTCATATTATATATTAAAAAAATGTTTAAGAAAAAACATTAAATTCATTTAAAATATTTTTAAAGTATTTGTTCTTACTTATATAATGCTGCAATTTGTCTTTAAGAATATTGTCAAATTTCCCTAATGTCCCATCATGTTGAAATAAAGGACAAAAAAGTTATTCTTTATTTTTCAAATTGTTAGTACTAAAACATACTTTTACTATTTTATGTCTATATTTATGCCGTCCATTTGTCCTTTTCATTTCGTTTCATCGCTCTATAAATTTTAAATATTTTTAATTGAAAAATTATATGACCTTGAATATCTCACAAAAAAACCAATAAAATTTTTTTATTACAATTATATATATATATATANATTATCCGGGATGCTCGGGACCATCGCTATCCCGGATATCTGAATTTCCCGGTTTTCTGGATCGACCAAAAAGTGTCGTTAATCGATGTTTTATCGAACCCGAAGTACAAGGAAAAAGTGTAATGCATAAAGTAAGAGAAAAAAGAAAGGTACTCCTAACTTTAAAAAGAAAAAAAAAATGGTAGAAATATAACATTTAAAAGAATAAAAAAATTTGCAAGCTTAGGCAAGAAAATCAAGTTTAAAAAATACAAAATTCTCATATTTATTTTTTAAAAATAATTACAATTCCTAAATTAAATAATATAAACAAAACCAATGATTAAATAACGCAATATATTTCATACCTAATTATATGGGGAGAAACGATAAAATAAAAGGAAAACTTATAATTCTAAATAGAAACACTTGAAAATTATCGAACCGAAACGATAGTTAAAAAAGGCACTAGCATAAATATTAAAACAAGGCAAGATCAACGGAATTCAAAAAAAAAAAACAAAAAAAAACCCTAATGATAAAATTTATGAATAAAAAGAATTTATTGAGTGCGAAATTTATCGCGAAAAGAAAAAAAAAAAAACACGTAGTGGAATCAGAAAAACAAAACTGTAATCTGCTTCATAAAATAATCCTATGTTTAAATTAATAAACAATTCTCCTTTTATTTTATTTTTGTTGTTGATAAAAACAATATTTTTAATTACAGCAGATGTGATTCCACTCAAAAAAAAACTTGCAATTGATACCGCACTTCCAAAGAATGAGATTTTATTCAAAAGAAAAAGATTTTATTTTTATTAGTCGATGTCAAATAAATATATTTTTCTCTTTTTTTTTTCTGTTCACTGATATGCTTGCAATGCATTTTCCCCACCCCCCTCGTAAATCAAGCAGAAAACGAAATCAGCATGCCACACCCTTGAGTTTGATTGACGGCCTAAAGTAAAAATAAAACATTCGTCCCTTCCCTGCCTTCAAGGTCACGGAGGAAATGACGTTTCTCTGGGTAAACGGGGAAAAAAAATTTCCCCTTCCTTACATTTTCCTCTACTCAACTTCAAGGATGAGTCCAATTTCCGTTTTTTTCGTTTTAGTTTAAAATGGCGTGAAAATCGAGCAAAATTTTTCCCGGTTTTCTGGTTTCCCGGTTATCTGGATACTGGATAAATGGTTCTCTACTGTATAAAAGTCTCATTATTGAATACTATATAGATTAATTAATTCAGTTTTAAGTTAATTGATTTATATTAATTATTAGCCATGTGTATGGAAAGAACTGCTGTTAGCTGCTATAGGAGAACAATTTGCAGATTGTGTTGAAGAAGGTTTGTATAGATTCCTCTAAATACTTTTAATACAATATACTTGAATACATAATTTATTCTTAGTAGTTTTCTCATAATGGTATCATTAAAATATGTAACAAATAGGAGTGTTCCATTTAAGATCGCTCTTTATATATATTTAAAATATCTATATATTGTTGAAGTGCATTATTCAGAAACTTAGATTAACCCTTCTATTCCAAGCTCCTTCCTTAACCTAATGGATGTTCCAATTCTTAGGCAAGCTAGGAATCCTTTTCTTCATCTTTCCCAAGACAGGCACTGCAAGCATTTTCAATTGCTATATTCGGAAACAGTTACTACGAATTTCACTCTTAGGATAGATTGCAAAATAATCAGTGTAAGAAATACATAGCAAGTGTATGCTGGACAATCGTCCGTTCTTTAAAATAATGTCAGTGTAGAGAATAACCGTCAATGGCCTTAAAAACCAACAGTGTAAGGAATATTGGGAAAGTCTTATCCAGGAAATGGTCCACACATTTTTATTGGGTTATATTCCTATTTGATTATTATAATAACCACATTGTTGGTAAATGTGATAAATATAAAGTCACATTGCTTGCTACTCCATGTACTGTTGTTTCTTTTAATGTTAAAGGACATTTCCAGAATATGCTTGCTTCATATTCTCTATACTGATGTAACAATGTAGGCATGCATTCCTTATCTTTTCTTACTTCCTAAAGAAATAAAAATCCACTTCCATAGAGAGGAAACTTGGTATTATAGGTTTAGTGTAACAGCATTGCTGGTTAGTGAATAATGCTGTTTAAAACCGAAATATCAAAACTGAGTGTCTCAGAATTTTTTAAATTCATTTCTGAAAGCTAACATTTCAGAGACTCCACTAAGGAAAGCATCTGGTACAGATTGGCAAACATTAGCATTTTATTAAACCTACTAACATCAGTGACTGAAAATTAAGGTTTTATGCATTCATATCCATAAATTAATCATATTTCAGAATTAGACGGAAATTGAACTCTAAAGTAAAAAGTTCCCCTGTAAAATTATCATTCACAACTTTAGGAATTATAAAATAATATGCAAATTAGAGGAAGCCACCTGATGACACCAATAGTACGTCACAAGGATAAGAGTGTAAGAGAGGGGTATATAAGGAATGGGGGTAAAAATGCAAAATCGGTCAAGCATTTTTTAAGTTATGACACAATATACGTAAATAGTTATGACACACGTGGATGATTTTTTATGTGGTGGAATTATCGGCTACCTGGAATATGGGTGTTCTCAGGTCAAAATATCCGAGGAATTTGGAGTTGCACAAAGTGTCATCTCCAGGTTTCTGGCAATGATTCCAAGACGGTGGAAATGTTGGTTGATGTTACAGTATGGGTCATCTCCCAGTTACAACAAATGAAAACAGTTATTTGGCTGTAACTGCCAAAAGAAGCATATGAAGCAGGAGCACTAGTGCGCCAGGGTTCCATTATAGATCTGCATGTTCAAATCGAAACCATAACAGGCCAAATTTATTGGGGAATCATTCTGGGACCAAATGTATGTTTGCTATGTGGTACCATGGGTGCAGAATTTTTGTTTATGGATGACAATGCTTGCTCTCACCAAGCGAGCATCATAAATAATCTAAGGATATTATCTGTATGGAATGGCAAGCATTCTCACCTGACTTGAATCCGATGGAGCATGTGTGGGGCATGCCTTCTACATGTGTACCAGGACTTAGAAGAGCATTGCTTGCTGAGTGGAGTAATGATCACGTTCCGTGATCAGCTCGATAATTTGACTCTAAGCATGTCTGAGTGTTGTACAGACTGTATTTCATCGCATGGAAAACGTACAATGTATTAACCATCAAACGAATCGTGTAATATTAAGTTTATGTAAAGGAGATATTTTTTATAATAGCCCAGGAAGTATTTGTATCCTTAAGCGTTTTGGCACAAAATCTTGCAGTTTTTATGAAGGAAAAATAAAGGCTTTGTTAAGTTTTTTTTCTTTGAAAAAGCTCAAGGAAAATTCCATTAGATTTCCTTTACAAAGAATGCAGAATTCTATGCCAAAACACTTAAGGATTTTTTTTAATGTTTGGCACTGAGAGTTTTTCTACATGAATTAAAAAAAACCCTTAAGGATTTTTAAAATAGTTAATATAAACATTTTGAAAAAGAGTTAATATAAAAATTTTGAAGAATAGTTAATTAAGACATTTTGAGTTAATTTCCTTTAAAATACTTTACTTTCACTTCAATTCTTGTGTTAGTTACTTAAGAGTGTTAACACTTATTAAATCTCAATTGGAGTTATTTGTTACTAAGAGTAAATTTTAAGATTTAATAAGTTGAATTCAGTTTTATATTTTTAAAAGTGTTTCACTAGTTTTGAGTGTAAGTAAACATAAAAGTAAATAAAAATCATTTTAAATAATATAGTTTTTTATCTTTAAAAAGTTAATGGAAAATTCCTTAACAAAAACTGTGGTTTTTTGTACCAAAACATAAAAGGATTTTTAGAGGCTTTTCTTTCTAAATCTTAATGCTGAGAATTTTTCTATGTGAATCTGAAAAATCTATAAGAGTTTTTAAAATAGCTAATATAAACATGGTATCCGCACACCTGGAAAGTCATGAATTTCAGTATTGAACAAAATTTGTCATGAAATGTCATGATTTTCATCTATTTTTTGAAAAAAAACCATGGAAAGTCATGGATTTAGGTCGCTGAAAAATCTAATTTTTAAAATGGAATCATCCCCCCCCCCTCAATTTCATCGTGTTCTAAATATCTGAATTCCTAACAAAATCACTACTCAGTCATATTTTATTAGAATATAAAATGTCTTTCTCATGTTCTTTAAAAATGGTGTTCTTTCGAAAAATGAAAGAAAAAACATCATTTCTAGAGAGAATTATCTTTTAAACTTCTGTGATTTAAGAATTTTTCTTAATTTATTTTTTTGTCAATTTAAATTTCAAGCCGAAGCAAGCTAATCATTGGCGAATTTTTTTTATTTCGAAATGAGAACAGACAAATAAGGAGCATTTCTTTCCTTTCTGATGAACAGTTAAAGTATCTTTAGAATATAATTCCATAGAAAAAAAAAGAAGAAAAAAAAATTTGCTTTTGTATTTTTTTCCAGCTATTTTACTGCTACAACTCTTTCTTGACTCTGTTTTTTAAATTTAAAATCTATGAATATGAAGATGCGGATTATAACAGTTTTGGTTACAATTATCATTTCAATTAATGTTATTATAATGCTTTGTTTAATTTGTCGGAGAAAATAGTAACTTCTTTAAGTCATGAAAAATTCTTGGAATTAGTCATGGAAGATCATGAATTTGAAAATCTAAAATGTTGCCGATACCCTGTATAAACATTTTGAAAATTAGTTAATATAAAAATTTTGAAAAATAATCAATATAAATATTTTGAGTTAATTCACTTCAAATTATAAGATTCTTATGATAGTTGCTTAAAAATGTTATAATTTGTTATAATCTCTTTTGAATAAATGCATACTAAGTGCAAATCTTAAGATTTAATATTTGTAATTTGGTTTAATATTTTTAAAAGAGTTAAACTAGCTTTGAGCATAAATAAATTTAAAAACAAATAAAATCATTTTGTATAATTTTAAAAAAGAGAACAATTCAAATTTTTGAAACAGCTTAAAATTTTCATCATAAAGATATGATTTCATCTTCTAAAAATAGTAAATAATAAAAATAGTTTTGACAGTATAATTGTTTTGAGTGAAAATAAACATTTATTTAAAAAAATCAATTTGTGAATGACCCATTAGTTTACAATTTTGAAATTTCTTTATACATTGAATTGTTAATTTGATAAAAATCATTTTAATAAACTGAATAAAGGGAATTTGAAATTTTTGAAACAACTTGAAATTTGATTTCATCTTCCAAAAATTGTAAATAAGTATATGATCCCTGATTTACCATTAAACTACATGACAATTTTTTTTCTTTTTACTTCATATAATATTTTTCAAGGATCATTATAATTCAGAAATATATCGGGTAGAATAGATCAGCGTCTTCATCATAGAAAAAAAAATGGTTGAGAATTTCTCACCCTTTCTCAAAAACAGGATGAGATTTCAAAAAGTTAAGTGAGATTTATAAAAACTAAAAAAACACAAAAACTCTTGGAAAAAAAATTATTTCTTTAATTATAATACATTTTTAACGTCTTCTATTTTTTAAAGCATTGAATACTTTTGGTGCATCATCATAGAAGATTTTGCCTTTACAAGGTATTTGTCCATCTTACATTAGTGCATAAAAAATTTAAATGTCTTACATGAAGAAACCTTATCTATGGTAAACACATGGTTGCAGAGAAATGTGTTCTGAAAGGGGTTACGTGGTAGTGTTCTGTTCTAAAAGGTTCTGAACAACACTGGTAAATAGGGAAGCTAGATTTCGGGGCAGATGTTGAAAATAATGAAAGATCCAGGAGAAAAGTGAAACGTATTTTATTCTAAATGGGGTAATTCGAAACTTTTTCCAAAATGCGAGAAATTTGCGAATTTTGAAATTGATTCATAGAGTGCGCGAATTTCTCGCGGTAATAATTTTTTAATGCGAGAAAAGAAAAAAATATACGAGATTCTCGTGTTCTCGCGCTGTTGTGAAAACACTGATAGATAAAATATTCCCTTCTCTTTGAACAATTTGTGGATCGTCCCCTAGTGCATTATTTTGAAACTAAGCAATTTCAGAATTGTAAAAGTTTGAATGGAAATCAGGTAAAAAAACGTGAAATTTCGCAGATAAGTGGGATAATAGTATGTTGAATTAAAGTTAAATTTCTTGGTGACGTGTAATTGAATTACTAAATGAAGTATTTAACTTATAACACAAAATTGTCTTAATTTTAATAATAACAAAATCTTGTATAATAATTTTTAATGTTACATACTTTTAAAGAATAAAATCTGTATATTAAAAATTTTCAAAAAAATTTAAATT